GTTCTTCAGGAAAATGGTCTTTGATCTAGGCAGTTGTATGTGTGAATACATAAATATATATGTTATACATGTTTATCATATTTTCAAGTACGACTAGATTTAAAAATCTAATCATATTTCTTGTACACAACTATACAATATACTGTAAAAGTGTAAAATATATTTTTTCACATCTGCAAATGAATTGAAAATTCTCAGATCGCACAACATTATAGACAGGGAGATCTGGTGACCTGCAATAACCTAGGACATAGTAACAGCAGGAACTAAGAGTTGATCTACATCAATACTTCTAGGCTAGTTAACCCAGAAAGAATATAGGACTCACCCAACAGGCCCTGCAGGAGAAATTCAGGTGACTGGTTCTCCTCTTCACTGTGATACCCAGAAACTGGACAAACATCAATCACACAGTAGCATTCCTGTACAAACAAAAAACTTCATGAGAGAGAAATTATGGAAATATTGACTTTCACAATAGCATCTTACAAAATGATATACCTAGAAATCAACCTAACCAATAATGTAAAAGATCTATATACTGAAAATTATACTACTCTAAAAAAGGAGATTGAAGAGGATATTGGAACATGGAAGGGACCAACATTATGAAAATGGCCATACTCCAAAACTGTTATACAGATTCAATGCAATCTCAATCAAAATACCATCAACATACCTTACAAATCTAGAGAAAATATTCCTAAAATTCATCTGGAAACAGAAGAAACCGAGAATATCAAAGGAAGTTTTGGGCAACAAAGGCAAGACAGGACACATCTCAAGCCCTGACTTGAAACTATACTAGAAAGCCACAGTAATAAAATCAGCATAGTACTGACAAATAGACAAGAGGATCAATGGGATAGATTAGAAGATGTAAACACTGCTACAAAGATATTCAGCCACTTTGTACTTGACAAAGGGCTAAACAATTTCACTGGAAAAAGATAGATTCTTTCTTTCTTTTTAAAAAATTTTATTTAAAGAGAAAAACAAAACAGAAATAGAGTACAAGTAATGCAAAATTTCAGAAAACATAAACTAAAAAATCACTAGTTAATAGATTACATATTGTCATCTTAGAAATAGTTGTTCAAGTTACAAAATTAAAGCATACAAAATGTACATTGAAACAATGAGACTGAAAACAGTTCTGTTCAATGATCCAACAAAACCTTAGTAATATGGTTATCTATCTTACACACTTAAATATGCGTGCAGTTATATCCTTTAGAGCACTTTATTTTCCTCTCTTTCTTACAATAACAATTACAAATTTTGGGTTTTATTACTCCCACAGTTCTTATTACGTTTTTTTAATAGAATAAAACCAAATGTGACAAAAAAAAAAAAAACAGAGTTACTCAAAACAAGGATGGACATAGTACATGATGTAAAAGCAGAATACAAGGTGATCAAGAGTGATTACCATAATGCCTCTTGCTATCTTAAAAAAATTGCCCATATTATCAGGTATAATAAAAATGAACAAAATAATAAAGAACCAATAAAACTATATATAATATCCTGCTTTTTTATTTTCAGTTAATTAAAAAAGAGAGATTGAGATAAAAGAGGACATAACAACATAACAACACAGATCATGACAGAACAATTTAAGAAACATAGTGTTTCATCACAAGATAAGTCAACATAACACTAGTTACCATAGTGTCTCTTTCCTTGAAATATTTGAGTATAACTTTGTAAACTATAGCATCAAATATATCAAGGCAGTGTAAAACCATTCAAGAGAATGAAAGTATTACAGGGTATTTAGGACTAACAGAAAACAAACAATGGTTTCTCTATTATCTCCTTGTCTATAAAATTTTTTGTTTATACTATCACATATAGTAAAATCCAAAAAGATACAAAATGATAAAACCGATGGAGACAGAAGAACAAAAACTTGATGGGACTTCAAAACAAGAAGATATTAAATGAGCACTAGCTATTATGATGTCTTGTTTTCTTCAAAATATCTGTTCATACCATTATAGATAAAACAATCAAACAACCCAGAATAAAACTATTCCAATTAATGAATGAAAACATTATAAGGCTTCAAAGCAATATAATAGGGAATCATGATTACCTCATACTTGTATGTATTCTTACCATTTCTTACACTACGGAAACTATTTGGTATTTATACATGTGAGTTTGATTTATTTCACTTATGAGAATGGTCTCAAGCTGCACTCATTTATTTATATCTCAATGTGATCATTCTTTATAGCTGAGTAGTACCCCATTGTATAAAAATAACACAACTTTTTTTATCCATTCCTCAGTTGATGGACACTTAGGTTGTTTCCAAGATCTGGCTATTACAAATTGTGGTGCTATAAACATGTGTGCACATATATCACTGTGGTAGGACGCTTTCAGTTCTTCTAGGAATATGCCTAGCAGTGGAATAGCTGGAACAAATGGGGCTTCCAATCCCAGCTTTTGGAAAAATCTCCAGACTGACCTCCACAATGGTGCACCAGTCCACACACTCACCAACAGAGCAAGAGAGTTCCTTTTTCCCCACAGCTCTTCAGCATTGTTGTTGGCAGTTTTCTTTATCCTGGCCATTCTTTCAGGAGTGAGATGGAATTTCAGTATGGTTTTAATTTGCATTTCTCTAATGACTAATGATGAACATTTTTTCATGTATTTATTTGCCATTTGTATTTCTTCATCTGAGAATTGTGTATTTATCTCAGATGCCCATTTTTTGGATTGGATCTTTGAATTTTGGGGGTCTGATTTTTTAAAAATTCTTTATATGTTTTAGACAGAAGTCCTTTGTCTGAGGGACAGTTTCACTAAAGTTTTTTCCCAGTTTGTGGGTTTTCTTTTTACTATGCTGGAGATTTCTTTTGACATGCAGAAACTTTTTAATAAGAGATAGTCCCAGGTATTGATTCTGGGAAGTATTTCCCGTGCAGTTGGATTCCTGTTCATGATTTCTCTACCTACCCCTTTGTCTTCAAGGTTTTATCCAATTTGTCTTCCAATAGATTTAGTGTTTCTATTTTAATTTTCAGATTTTTGATGCATTTGATTTTAATTTAGTATATGGTGATAGACATGGATCTAGTTTTAGTTTTTGGCATATGGAGAGCCAGGTTTTCCAAAACATTTATTAAAGAGACAGTCCTTCCAATGAAAATGTTTGGCTCCTTATCAAAGATAAGGTGGTTGAATGTGTTTGTAGTTGTGGTTGTATCTTCTAATCTATTCCATTGATGTTCAGCTCTGTTTTGATTTCAATACCATGTTGATTTTACTATGGTTGCTTTATAGTATAACTCCAAGTCAGGGAGTGTGATGCCTCCTGTCTTGCCTTTGATGCTTAGAACTGTCTTTGCTATGCTAGGTCTCTTCTCACTCCAGATGATTTTTAAAGAATGATTTCTCGAGATCTATGAGGTATGTTGATGGTATTTTTATTGGGATTGCATTGAATCTGTATAAGAGTTTTGGGAGAATGGCCATTTTCACAATATTCTTCCTATCCTTGAGCAGGGGATGTCTTTCCACTTTCTGAGATCCTCTTCAATTTTTTTGAGTGTACTATAACTTTCCCTGTATAGATCTTTCACTTCTTTTGTGAGAGTAATTCCTAAATATTTCATTTTTTTTGGTTGCTAGTGCGAAGGGTGTGGCTTCTCTTATTTCTCTGTCAGTAATTTTGTTGTCAGTGTATAGGAATGCTATTGATTTTTGAGCATTGATTTTGTATCCAGCTATATTACTGAATTTATTTATTATATCTAAGAGTCTTTCAATGGAGTTTTGGGTCTTCTATGTAGAGTATCATGTCATCTGAAATAATGATAGTTTAGTTTCTTCTTTTCCTATCTTTACCTCTTTTACTTCTCTCTTGTCTAATTGCTTTGGCTAGTATTGCTAGTACTATATTAAATAGAAGCAGTAATAAGGGACATCCTTGTCTTGTGCCTGATTTTAAAGTAAAGGCCTTCGAATTTTGGCCATTTAGTAGGATACTGGCTGTTGCTTTATCATAGATGGCTTTTATTATATTGAGATAAAGACCATCTATTCCAATTTTTGTAAGGTTCTTATCATAAATGAATATTGGACCTTATCAAAAGCTTTTTCTCTTTCTATAGGAATGATCATGTGATTGTTACTTTTGACTTTATTTATATAGTGGATTACATTTATTGATTTACATATGTTGAACCATCCTTGCATTCCTGGGATGAATCCCACTTTGTCATGGTGTATAACCTTGATGATTTGCTGCATCCTATTTGCCAGTATTTTACTGAGGATTTTTGCATCTGTGTTCATTAGGGAGACTGGCCGGTAATTCTCTTTTTTAGTTGAGTCTTTCTCAGGTTTTGGTATGAGAGTAATATTTGCTTCCAAGAATGACTTAGGAAGGATTCCCTTTCAGTTTCATTGAAGAGTTTGAAGAGTGTCAGCATTAAGTCTTCTTTGTATTTCTTGTAGAATCCACAGTGAATCCGTCTGAGCCAGGCTCTTCTTTGTAAGTGAGGACTTAATTACATTGTCAATTTCATTAATAGAAATTGGGTTATTCAGCAGTTTTACATCATCTTGACCTAGCTTTGGTACTGAAGTATGTTTCTAGGAATCTGTCTATTTCTTCTATGTTATCAAACCTTTGAGAGTAGAGGTCTTTGAAATAGATGTTGATGATCTTCTTTATTTCTAAGAAGCCTGTAGTGATTTCACGTTTTTGATTCCTTATTGCACAAATTTGAGCATTTTATTTCCTTTTTAAAATAAGGTTTTCCAGCGTCTTATCAATTTTATTTATTCTTTCAAAGAACCAACTCTTTGATTCATTGTTTCTTTGGATTGTTTTTGTAGTTTCTATTGCATTAATTTCTGCTCTGATTTTTATAATTTCCTCCCTTCTTTTGGCTTTGGGCTTGACTTGCTCTTCTTTTTCTAGATGTCTGAGGAGCTGCATCAGTTTGTTTATTTGTATTCATTCTGTTTTCCAGATTTGGGAACTCAGAGCAATAAATTTTCCTCTGAGGACTGCTTTCATTGTATCCCACAGATTCTGGTAAGTTGTATTTGTGTTTTCATTTGCTTGTATGTATTGTTTAATTTCTTCTTTAATTTCCCCTGTGACCCATTGATTACTGAAGAGTGTGTTATTCAGTTTGCCTGTGTTTGTGGGTTTTTTTGCAGTATTTTTTATTTATCAATCTCTAATTTCATGGTGCTATCATCTGATAACATGCATGGAATAATTTCCACTCTTTTGCATTTATTTAGATATGTTCTGTGGGCTAGTATATGGTGTATTTTGGGGAATGTCCCGTGTAAGACTAAGAAGAATGTTTATTCTGATGTTGTTTCATGGAACACTTTGTATATGTCTATCAAGTGCATTTGTTCACAGTTGTGATTCAGTTCTGTTATTTCTTTGCTGATTTTCTGTCTGGTTGATCTGTCCCGTGGTGTCAATGGTCTGTTAAGGTCTCCTGTTATAATTGTGTTACTGCTAATTTGGTTTTTCATTTCTGTTAATACTTGCTTTATATAACTAGGTGCTCTGGAATTTGGTGCATATATATTTAAGATTGTTATCTCTTCCTCTTGAAATTTTCTGATAACCAGTATGTAATGACCTTCTTTATCTCTTCTGATCATTGGTTTAAAGTTCACATTGTCTGCAAACAGAATAGCTACCCCTGCTTTTTTTGGGTTCCTATTGCATGAAGTATTGTTTTCCATCCTTTGACTTTCAGTCTGTGAGTATCCTTTTGAATTAGGTGGGTTTCTGTAGACAGTATATGGTTGGATGTTGTTTCTGGATCCATTCTGCCAGTCTGTTTCTTTTAATTGGTGCATTGAGACCATTTACATTAATGGTTATAACTGTTATATGTTTGTTTATTGTTGACATGTTATCTTAATGGTGTTGCATCTTTATCTTTGTGTTTTGTTTAATTGTCTGCTTTGCTTGGTGTTTTTTTCCTAAATGTATCTAAACTGTCTTTCAGTATTCTTTGCAGGGTTGTCTTGGTGATCATGAGGTTCTTCAGCTGTTTTTGTCATGGAAGTATCTTATTTCTCCATCGATTTTGAAGGACAATTTTGCAGGGTACACCAGTCTAGGTTGTAAATCATTTTCCTTTAGGATCTGAAATACTTCACTCCATGCTCTTCTTGACTTCATTGTTTGTGATGAGAAGTCTACAGTGATTCTGATAGATTTTCTTTTATAGGTGATCTGTCTTTTCTCTCTGACAGCTTTTATTATTCTATTCTTATGTTGAATTTCTGGGTTGTTGATTGTTATATGTCTCGGTGAAGTTTTACTTTGGTTATGGCTATTTGGAGTTGTATATGCTTCACTGATCCTGATGTCAGTTACCATTCTCATGTTTGGGAAATTTTCAACTATTACTGCTCTAAATATCCTCTTGACATCCTTTATGTTGTCCCCTTCTTTTTCCTTTATCCCTATCAATCATATGTTGTTTTTCTTTGAGCTGTTGAAGCTGTTGAATTGTTATTTCCTGATTCCTTGTTATTTTTAAAAGATCCTTCCTTTCCTGCTCACTAGCTGCAGTCTTGTCTTCGAGGTCTGAAATTCTAACTTCACTTTCATTGAGGTGGTTTTTACAACTTTCAATGGAATTCTTGATTTCCTGGATATCTCTGCATCTGCTTTATGTATCTGCTTTTTTCTTATATTTTTCATCCAGGGATTCTACCTTTTGTTTATTTCCTCCAATTTTTTAACTGTGTCTTCTTTAGATATGTTCAGCATCTCTTTTATTTCTTTTATCATTTCTTTTCCTTGGGAGATTATTTCTAGTTTCAATTCCTTTAAAGCTTCCTGGAGTTGCTTCTTTATTTCAATTGCTATTATGTCAGGTATTTCAGGTGTATGGCATATATTTCATAGCTCCCAATGTTTCATGGGATGGGCTGGAGTTGTGAGATTGTATTTTGGTCTTTTGTTTTGTCATTGTCCTATATTTCTGTGTTTCAAGTGTTATTCCAAGGCTTCCCCAGGGCCTGTCAGAAATCCTTTTCTATGCCCTCAGCTCCTGGAACTGTGGCCGCCCAGTTCCCAAGATTGAGAGAGGGTCATTGGGGATAAGGCAGGCAGGCCCCAGCCCTATGGTTCAGGTTGAGTGTGGCAGGAAGCTGTTAAGTTCCTTGGCTGCTGGGAGCAATGATCCCAAACTCCCTGGTTCCAGCTGGTGCAGGGACACTCACTTTAGGCTGCCCAGTTTCCAGAATTTAGGACACTAGCAGTCCCAAAACCCCAGAGTCTGCCAAGCAGGGCATGAAGTGGGGCAATTGGTGTAGGTGGCCTCAAGACCCACTGAGCTGGTCCAGTGCAGCAGGAAGCTGTGAAGTTCCCTGGCCAGGGCTGAAGGCAGGATCTCAAACTCCCAAAGCTCGGGGGATGGTGTAGGGATACTCACTGCAGGCTGCCCAGCCTCTGGAACTGAGGGCTCCAGCAGGCCCAGGACCCCAGAGTCCACCAAGCATGGGAGGAAGCGGGGAAGTTGGTGCAGGCAGGCTCAAGACCCACTGAGCTCTATATACTGTTTTTATTCAAGTTATATGGCTTTGAGATAGTTTGTTATGTAACAATAGATAACTGAGACATAATCTTTTTAAAAATTGTGGTAAAAAACATAAAATTTAGCATCAGGGGCCAGGGATTTAGCTCAGTGGTGTAAGCGCCTGTCTTGCAAGCATGCAGTTATGAGTTTGATCCTCGGTACAAAAATAATTCAGCATCTGAACTGTTTTTAATTGTACAGTTTGGTATCTCTAGAACTTTTTCATCCTGTAGAATTAAAACTTTACATGCATCAAATCAGTGATGGCCAACCTTTTGGGTACCAGGGCCTGGTACCCAGGATATTTTTTTTCCACAGATTGAGTAGGGGTCATCTTCAGAATGATTCACATACATTGCATTTATTGTGTACTTAATATATATTATTATTATACCATACATTTTATTTCTATTACTGATTCTTATAAGGCAGACACAACCTAGATACCTCACATGCACAGTTCACATATGATTTGTGCTCCTATAAGAATCTAATGCTGCCCCTGATCTGATAGGAGGCAGAACTCAATGGCAATGCAAGTGATGGAGAGCAGCTATGAAGACATATGAAGCTTCACTTGCTTACCTTCCACTCACATTTTGCTGTTCAGTTTGGTCCCTAACATGCCATATACTGTCCTGAGGTTTGAGGATCTCTGCTTTAAACAAATCTTCTTTACCTTCTCCCCCAGTCCATCTCCCAGTAGCTACCATTCTGGCTTCTCTGTCCATGACTGCTTTAGATATCTCATATAAGTGGAATCATGTACTGTTTGTCCTTTTGTGATTAATTTTTAATTAGCATAAGGTCTTCGAGGTTCATCCACATAATAGCATGTGATTGGATTCTTTTCTTTTTCTTTTCTAGGACTGAATAATATGAGGATCGGCCTCTACCTGCTGGATGCCAACACTGGAATGCCCTTTCCTCTCAGTGTGGGCAGAGAGAGAGCCAGAGGATCTTCCTCTGCCTGCCAGATGCCACCACCAGAAGGCCCTTTCTTTCACGTGCCCAGCATGAGCAAAGAGAGCCAAAAGAGCCACCTCTGCCTGCTGTGCACTGCCACCTAAAGGCCGCAGCCTGCAGGTCACCAATGTGGGTAGAGAGAACCAACAGATCCAACTTCACCTTCAGGGAGTTTCCACCAGAAGGCTCCTTCCTACAGGCAGCCAGTAGACACATAGCCTGGTAAGCCCTTTGCATCTGTAGGTCACCATTTGAGGCCCTTGGTTCCCTCAGACAGCCATCATCCAATAGCAGAATCAGACAAACATACCTTTATATATCTGCCATCATTGTGGGAGTGCCAGTGTAGACACAAAGGCTGAGAGAAGCAGCCCCACCTGTATGCAACCCTGATCATCAGCAAAGCTCCAGTGTAGCTGCATAGCTCTGGAGAAGCCTGCTTCACACTATGCTACCTCCCTATAAATCTGGAATTAGAGGAACCCAAGTACCTGTCTCATCCACCTACACTGCCTAGGTGTAGCCAAGGCAGAAAGCGCCTGGGGCCCCACAACTAGCTTGTTGGGAGGAACTCAGGAGAATGTCAAGATGAAGGAGTAAAAGGGAAACTCAGCTAGTCCACACACAGTAATTCTGGGAGATACATTCATGGAAGAGAACAGAAGTCACACACCTGGAATCTCTGAGAGGCTACCAATAGGAAACAATTTCAAGAGATTGTAAAAGCAGTCAAATCAGAAATAATGTCTCAGGTAAAAGAAGAAATCACAAACATACTGAAAGAATTGTTCAGCAGATCTAAAGAAGATGTAGACAAAAAAGACGAGCATAGGAAAATGATGGAAACCTTGAATGAGTGTAGAAAAGAATTACAATTTATGAAACAGATTGGAAGAGAGATCCAGAAAATTAAAAACTCAATTGAAAGCTGGCAAAACTGCTTGAAAGAGATGAAGATAGACTTTCAAACCTTGAAGACAGAATTGTAGCTAGTGATCGTGAAAGGAAAGAACTCTTAAAAATAACACAGAATCAGGAAATAACAACAGTTGCAAGATGGTGCAAGGAAGCATAATTTAAGAATGATAGGTGTCGGTGAAGAAGCAGGGGTCAAAACAAAGGAAATTCATAGAAGTAATAGAAGAAAACTTTCCAAACATGGGAAACGGATCTGGCATGCAGATAAGTGAGGCATATAGGACTTCAACTAGCCATATGAAAGTAAATCTACAAAGTAAATCAAGATCCCAGAAATTCAGCACAAGAACAGAATATTAAAAGCTGTCAGAAAAAGACACAGATTGCCTATAAAGGAAAACCAATCCGAATCACAGCAGACTTATGAACACAAATCATCAAATCAAGAAGAGTTTGGAGTGAAGTGTTTCAAACTCTGAAAGAAAGCAACCTCCAACCCAGATTGATCTACCCAGAAAAGCTCTCTTTCAAAATAAGATACTTCCATTGTAAAGAACAACTGAAGGAATTCATGACTACCAAACCAACACTACAGAGAGTGCTAAAGGATATTCTAGAGAGAGATAAAGATGAACATGGTTTCAGGAACAGCAGTAGAGGAGGATTGCCAAATAAGACAGGCAATTGAATGAAGGGGAAAAGTGGAGGCCCAGCAACAGGAGGATAGCAGGGTAGAGACAAACCAATGTGTGCTGTTTGTAACCATTAATGTAGATGGCCACAGGTTAGCAATAAAAAGAAGCACAGGGATAGTGGATCAAGAAGCAAGATCCATCAATATATTGTATACAAGAAACATACCTAATTGGAAAGGATATTCATAGACTGAAAATTAAAGGAGAGAAAACAATTGTTCTATGTGATATGAGACAAAAAAAAAAAGCAAGAGTAACTTGCCCACCAACTACAGAATGGATAAGAAAGATACGGTATTTTCATGAAGTGGAAAGCTACCAGGCTATAAAATAGTGCTGTGTTGCTTGCATTGTCCATTTCTGATTTGATTTGTTCTGTTCTCTGTTTTCTTCTCTTTAAAGTAAAATAAAATAAAATAATTCACAAGTAAGATTGAATAATTTACAGTAATGAATAAAAAGAACAGGAAAAAGAGAAAAAACAGGGGAAATGTATTTATTGTGGCATTCTTTCCTTTATTGTAGTATCATTCTTTCCTTTAAAAGAAAATCAGAAGTATCTTCTACATCACATTATCACATTGGAAAGACATTGAATTATTCTCTTTTCATTATACTTCATTATGAAACCAATGTAGTTTATGTTTCATTTAACACTCTAGATATTTAACATATTAGAAAGTTGGAATTGAAAGAGAAGCTAGAGATTACTTTTCTTAGAAGTGTAATTTGGCAGGTTAAAAAGCAGAAACCTCAGAGGCTAGCTAACTTAATGGGGAAGTTGAACTGTTGGCAGTAGAGTTCAGAAATCTGAGCCATCTGTGAAGTTTGAGAAACTGCATTCAGCTGGGAGCTCAGTTGGACCTTGAGTGTCCAACATGCTGTCCTTTCCTGTATGACCCCTTTACATGTGGTGTCTTATGATTCAACAGTCTAGTCTGCATTTTTTAGCAGCATGGTGATGCATAAATCTTAGGAGGTTTTGAAACTTCTTTGCTACTTTGTCCTGTTGGTCCATTTTCAATGAAGAATAATCTAAAGGTTCAAGCTCCAGCATCCAACCAGTTATCAAACTGCTTTTAGAATCCTTGATAATTGCTTACTGGGAAGTTGTATGATCAAGGCTGTTTTGAATGAATGCATGGAGGAAATTTGGCACAAAATAAGAATAAGAAAAATGCACTCACAACTTAATAGATTTTTTCATCAATCCATAAAAGTATATGAAAAGCAATAGACTAAATACCAAGTTAATTCTTTCTCTTGTTGGATGGTAACAAACTCCCATTGTGGAAATCATGCATCCTTCATCCATCTAGTGCTACTACATCCCAGGAAACAGAAACAGAGGAGAACAAGATGGACATAGAGCTTGCGCTTATGTCGGTTTGGATCATTATTGTGAAGGCAGATAAACACAAGTGAACAGACCAAGTGACTATAAAGTAGGATAATTGTTATGAAATAAAGAGTGGATACTATTACTGAGAAGTTTGTACCTTATATCGAGTGGTCAAACCAAATATGTTTGATTGAGTGGTTTCTAGCATAGATTTAAACAAAAAATAAGCTACACCCAGTGTGGAGGAAGCTAATATTAAGTGGAAGAAAAAGTACGTGAGGACTATAAGATGAGAATAAACTTGGCAGGCCAGTTAAAAACATGCCTCTGTCTTTCATTAGGTATGTCCCCTCCTGGTGAGTTTCTTAACCTTTTGTGCCTCACTTTGCTTATGTATCAATAGTGTACTACATAGAATTGAGAGGGAGAAGAGGTTGTATCTTACATAGGTAGGACTTTATATACCATAGGTTATATATTACATAGAACAGGGAATTGGAGATTTTAATCTCCTAAAGAGTAATGAGAAGATGCTCAAGGACTTTTAGGAGAATAATATTTGCTTTATATTTGGGAGATCATTTTTTCCTTCTTATTCTTTATAGTAAAGAATAGAAAGAGGCAAGAATAGTAGGTAGATTTGGACACTCCATTGACAAGATGTGTCAATAGCTAGTAGCTACAGGAGAGAAGCAAGACAACCATAATCACTGCTAGGTTTCTAGATTTAACAACTGGATGAATGTGGTTTAGGGATCGTGGGGCCAGATATCCTAGTCTGGGTCCTCTAGGGTGCCTCAGACCTATACCTTGTGTCCCAGATTGCACTCTTAAAACTCTAGTAATTGTTTAATTCTTTTTAATATATTAAAAATAAATAATACTTTGATATTACTCACAGTGGTCCATCATCCTGCTGGTGATAGTAGGAGGTGGAGAATGTCATAGTCTTATTTATGCTGCTAAAAATCATACATAAAAAGTAACTATTTTTAATTAACAAAAATTTATTCCTTACAGTTTTACAGCTGGGAGGTTCAAGACCAAGAATTTGGTATCTGCTAATGGACTTTTTCTTATCAATATCCTATAACGGAGGGTGGAAGGATCAAGAAACAGTAGGAGAATAGAGTGTATTGGCATATTCCTGTCATTCCAGCACTGGGAGACTGAGGCAGGTGAGCTGAAAGTTCCAGCCCAGCCTGAGCAACTTGGGACTTAGTGAAATTCTGGCTCAAAATAAAAAAGCAATGAATGACTAGGGATATAGCTCAGGTCAAAGGCTCTGGGTTGAATTTCCAGTACCAAAATTGGGGGACAAAATAGGGAGAAGCAAACTCATCCTTTTATAAGAAACTCATTATTCATTTCATTTTAAATCACCTCTTAGAGGTTCTACCTCTTAATACTGTGACAATGAAAATTAATTTTCAATGTGAGTTTGGGAAAGACACATTTGAACTATAGCATGGCGTCTTTGAGGTGACTGGGTAGTTCACGAGTGTAGAATTGTCTGGATAGGGACTGTGCCTTTAGAAAAGAGATCACAGAGAGATCCTGGCTCTGCTGCCATGTGAGGGCCCAGCAGGAAAGCCTGATGGTGAATCCTTTCCAAACCTTGAACTTACATTGATCTTGAGGTTTCCAGTCTCCAAAACTAAGGGAAATAATTTTCTGTTTTTTTATTGGTCACTCAACTTGTATTTTTTTAGTTGTAGCTCAAACAGACTAAGACACTAACTTCTTACCTGAAAGATTTCCTACCATTATTGGTGCCTGAATTTTTATCTTCTGAGGCTAAATTCCATATCCATCAAAATTCCTTTGCCCACACTTTTGAGACCAAAGAACATTTGCATGCTTAGATAAGGTTTAGAAGTTGCTACAGGTGAATATTCTCCTTACCTGGAGAATCTGAGTGTTTTGATTTCATGTTATTTATAGTTGACAAATATAAGCAACACTGCTTCTAGTGAAGGATATTTGGCATAGCATGCAGGCCCAGAGCCTATGATCCATGATGGCCCGAGCTCTTGCAGGAAAGCAGGTGCATTTGCAGGTAAGCAAGATAAGGTTGGAGAAGGGCCAGAATTGTGACTTTCATGTTATGTTATCTGTAAAGCTTAAAGCACAGAGTTATTTTCCTCAAGGAAAAATGTTGTCAAAATAGTACAAATATAGGGGCTGGGGATTTAGCTCAGCGGCATAAGCACCTGCCTTGCAAGCAGGCATTTTGAGTTCCATCCCCAGTACTCATAAAAAGGAAAAAGACAAAAAAAAAAAGAAAGAAAAAAAATAGTACAAATATAACTGACACCATATGACGGAGTATTTATTTTCTTGTTAAGCAAATACTATTCACTTGCATATAAGTATCTATTGTTTTGTATTTTAATGTGAACAAGGGTATAGCTAAGCTAACTTTAAAAAAAATAAGGCTGATATAGTTTTTTTGCATCTGTCTGCATTAAGAAAATTTAAATTTCACAAAATTCTTAATTTAATTGCAAATTTCAGTAGGAAGTTCAAAATAAAATTCTTTATGATTGGGATGATGATTTATCTTTTGGCTTATTTATTCAGTTGAAGTGTAGTACAGAGTAAGTGATCCATATTATCAAATAATAATAAGCAGTATTTCAGGGAGGTAGCATTACATAAAGGGCATGAAACAAACATGGATGATTGTTCTTAAACTTCATCACATTTTTACATACTGTATTATGCTAGATGTAGATTTTCCATGATACCTTTTGACTAAATCAAAACCTAAGTTTGGATATTTGGTTTACTACTAAATTTGAGCTGATTATTTACATTAAACTAACAAGTGAGCAATTAATTATCTTTTATTGGTTTCAATTCTTACTAAATTTATTTTATTTTATTGAATTTCATAACAAGACAATAGGAGAAAAGCAATAGTTAGTATATTGCATATTGTCATCTTCAAAGTGGTTACACAGAGTATAAGATATAGGTATAAAAATTTCTACAGTTGATATTAGTATGAGCTTTCCTTTTCAGCCTCCTAGTTTCTTTGTCCTTTTAAACAATTTCTTCCCATTTCACAATATCTTTTGTATATTCTAGACCAATCATAATAGTTTTATTTTGACCTTACTCTTTCAATTTCTCACGCCAGAGAGACAAAACAATGTTTATGCGAGATGTGAGTCTGATTTATTTCACTTATGAACATGGTCTCAAATTGCATCCATTTACCTATAAAGGTCTACCTATAAAAGTCTCAGGGTGCTAAATTTTGATAAACTGCTTCACAAATCTTGTTATTCTCTGAGCTCTTTCCATATATATATATATATATATATATATATATATATATATGATTCTTTTTTTATTTTGAAGGTAGTAAAATACAACAGAACAAGACAGAACAAAGTCAATCGAGACAATGCAGTGAAATTGGTACAAAACTTCACAGCAGGTTACTGGGATACCATAGTATATCTCATTATCTTCACAATAGTTGTCCTTTCAATCAAGTATAGCAAAATCAAACCAAATATAGAATATCATAAAACCTATCAAAACAGAGTATTGAATAGAGCAATCCAATTAATCATAACAAAACAATGTGTATATATATATGGTTTACATGTATTATTTCATATATATGTATATTATAGCTTTTTAATTCTTGAAAAGATTTATTTATTGAGGTATAATTTATATAATATAGCAAAGGCATGCACAACTTAAAGTACTATGGTAGACAGTTTACTCCCAAAGATGTCCACATCCCAAACTGCAACCTATAAATATGCTACATTGATTGATGAAAAGAATTTTTCATATGTGCTTATTTGAAAGACCTTAACATGTGGAGATGATTCTGGATTACTTTCATGTGGACACATGTGGTTACAAATGTTCTTAAAAGAAGTGGAGACAATATGAAAACTCCACTTCTGTTACAGGCTTTGAATATGGAGGAAGGAGGTCATGAATCAAGAGATGTGAGTGACTTCTGGACTTTGGATAAAGCAAGAAAATACACTCTCTCCTAAAGCTGTCAGAAAGGAATACTATCTTGCTAAATCCCTTATTCTAGCCCAAGAAGGCCTGTGTTATTTCTCAAGCCTACAGAACAGTGAAAAAATAAATTTTTATTGCTTTAAGCAAGTA